TTGAATCTTAGTTACGCAGCTGAGATTCATGGTAGCCACCTTATTAAGCTTATTCAGCATTGCAAGAAACTTCAGCGGTTATGGGTAAGCTGTTTCATAAAGTGTATATATGAACCGAGCAGATAGATTTATATGTAATGCTTTCGATGTTTTACTGCAGATATTGGATAGTATAGGTGACAAAGGGCTTGAAGTTGTAGCTTCTACATGTAAAGAGTTACAAGAGCTTAGAGTTTTTCCATCTGATTTACTCGGTGGAGGCAACACAGCTGTGACCGAAGAAGGTCTAGTTGCCATCTCCGCGGGCTGCCCTAAGCTTCACTCTATACTCTACTTCTGCCAGCAGATGACAAACGCAGCTCTCGTAACCGTTGCCAAGAACTGTCCAAATTTCATCCGGTTCAGACTCTGCATCCTCGAGCCAAACAAGCCCGATCATGTGACATCTCAACCTCTAGACGAAGGGTTTGGAGCAATCGTCAAAGCCTGCAAGAGCCTGAGACGGCTTTCCCTCTCAGGTCTCCTCACAGACCAAGTCTTCCTCTATATCGGGATGTATGCCAATCAGCTCGAGATGCTCTCCATAGCCTTTGCAGGGGATACAGACAAAGGCATGCTTTATGTGTTGAATGGTTGCAAAAAGATGAAAAAGCTAGAGATTCGTGATAGTCCGTTTGGCGACACGGCGCTTCTTGCTGATGTGAGCAAGTACGAGACAATGCGATCCCTTTGGATGTCGTCATGTGAAGTCACACTTAGCGGATGCAAAAGGCTCGCACAGAAAGCGCCATGGCTCAATGTTGAGATCATAAACGAGAATGATAATAACCGGATGGAGGAAAACGGACACGAAGGAAGACAGAAAGTTGATAAATTGTATCTGTACCGGACTGTGGTTGGGACAAGAATGGATGCGCCGCCATTTGTGTGGATTCTCTAGTCCTTATCAGACCAAAACATGGAACTGGTTCAATGCTTCTGGTTTCTGAGATTCTGATTGGTTTAGTGTGTCCTTCCCCAATTAGGTGTACTTGTGTTTTTTCTTTTCTTTAAATTAAGACAAGAACTGATTCTTTGTGAAAGCCATTCTGTTTTTGTTTTTGACTTTCCTCCGTTGATTTATTGTTTCTTAGTTCTTACTTGTGCTACGGTTTTTTTTTTTGTTTTTATTTTTATTTTTAATAAGCTTGTTTTAGATTAGGTTTTACTTTTTACTTATGACCTTGCTATGAATATGCAAGATAAAGAAAAAAAACTTGTACATAATATAAATTGAATCAAGTAATCTTAGTTTGAGACCAAGTAATAAGTATCCTGAGTCCCTTAATCCAATGTTTTAAATAGTAATTTTGGATTTCTCGTTTAATTTACTAAAATGCCATTTTCCCCGGCGTGCATATACAGAGAGCTCATCCTCTATGTTGTCGTGAAAACAACAACGATTGGGTTCATACGGGAAAGATGCTCATGTCTTAAATCCATTCATTTTCTCTGGGTTTAGTGCGTCTTTCGCTGTCTTTTGTGCATGGTTTACCGCCTGATTGGTGTTGCCCCATATTCAAAGATGATTCACAAGTTTACCAAGCAATCTGAACCTTATGAAGTAGTAGTATGAGATTCATTTGAAGGGCCACTGCGTTACCATATCTCCTTCATCGCCTTTCTCTATGTGTGAGAGTTTCTTTTCATCATTTAGCTGCAGCCTTTTAACTGCTTCTAATTATAGTTTTTGTTTTTTGTTTTTGCAGGGCCATGATTATGGTTCCCAAACTTTGAAGATCGTCGTGGTCTAATGTTTCGCTTGATTTTGCATTATCTGGAAGAACTTGCTGTCAATCTGGTCCACTTGTGCTGTAGTCTCCTGAGTTGCAGTTAAAACGAACACAATGTAATTAGTATTAAAATTTTATACAAAATTACTATTCAAAATTATATAAAACCCCAAAAAATTGTTTTCAAAACGTTGTTTGCTAAAATATGATGGATGTTATATAATTTTTGGGAAAATCACATTTTTAACCCTCAAAGTGTAACCGGGTAGCACTTTAAACCTCGAAAGAATTCTACTACCACTATAAACCACCAAGATTGTTTTACTAACACTTTAAACCTCCAAACTAGTTTTTCTGTTTGCAAAGCCATAAAAAATATGAAACAATCAATTTATGTTTATCTAATATATATTTATTTAATTTAATTTAAATTTTATTTAATTTTATTATTTATTACGATTTTGACGATAAATAAAAAAGTAAAAAAAAAAAAAAATTCATCTTCGACTATTCATTTTTCAAATTTTTATTCAGTTTATTGTATGTGTTCATCATCTTTTTATTCAATTGGTATTATGAGGTTCTAATTTATCAACTCGAGAGAGTGAAGACGCTTATGGATCAGTCTAAAATATTATTTTAACAGTTTATCAAGAAATTTCAAGGTCGGACAGTGAGTAAACAAAAAAAACAAAGTCTTTTTTTTTTTGTTTTTATAGCTTTTTATTAATTGTAATAAATAATAAAATTAATTAAAATTTAAATTATTAAAATAAATATATATTAAACAAATATAAATTGATTGTTCCATCATTTTTTATAGCTTTACAAACAGAAAATTAATTTGGAGGTTTAAACTGTTAGTAAAACAATCTTGATGGTTTATAGTGTTAGTAAAATTCTTTCGAGGTTTAAAGTGCTTCCCAGTTACACTTTGAGGGTTAAAAATGTGATTTACCCTATAATTTTTTAAAAACAATTTATATAACGTTGGATGGATGTTAAATTAACTGCCACATATCTTGTGTGTATCTTCATACACTTACTTTTGATGTAATATTCACCAAATTTCCACTATTCAGAAACTACGTTAACTGATTGAGATAAGAGATATGAATTTGACATACCTTTGCCTGAGTTTTCGTCCCATCTTAAGAAGAATTTCATGAAAATGTAGAACAGTCAGATTAGTACGTAACGAGCCAAGAATGTCGAGTAATCGATCAGTTAAGTTTAACGTAAAAAATGTATTACGCATTCAAGGTTCTTTACTGGAATACTTTCTGCAAGCACATCTAGAGGCAATATTGGAGTTGAATACGCCAAAGGTCAAGTCAGAAAATTTAGAAGAAACAATCTTAATACTCCCTCCGTATTTTAATAATTGTCGTTTTAGAATTTTTATTTTTTTGAATTGGATGTCGTTTTCAAATTTCAATGCAAAATTTCTTACTTTTTAATGTTTTATGATGTCATAAAACATTAAAAAGTAAGAAATTTTGCATTGAAATTTGAAAACGACATCCAATTCAAAAAAATAAAAATTCTAAAACGACAATTATTAAAATACGGAGGGAGTAATAGATAATCCTTTGATTCATAAACTAGAGAAACCAGACAGCACAGAAACGTGAAGAAGACCCTTAGATGGAACACCGAAAGTAACAACAGCTGGTCAAATATATATAGAAAAGACCTGTTTTCTTTGTTTGCAACTCAAATGAATGTGACACAATTTCACCGCCACACACAAAACCAAAGACTTAAGTTTTGTTGGAAACTAAAACAAACAGAGGAAGGAGAATGGCAAAAATCAGAGAAAGTCTTACACTTTGTTGGAAGACAAACTAACCTCCTACATTAGAAAATTAGAAAATAATAGTCTGATATATAAGTCAAGTCTAACTCCAATTAGTATGAAGTTTTTGGGAAGAAACCCAAAAATAAATCCTTACGGGCTTGGCCACTTGGTCCAAAGCGGACAATATTGTACTACTGAGAATTGACTTGAGCTTGGAGAGCCTAACACACGTCAAGTTTTCCCCATGACTGAAATGTTGCCACTAACAAAGTCAAATAATAGATTTGAATTCCAATTATCATCTGCCAAATTTACATCATAACCTGAAAAATATTCAACAAGAAACGTTTTTGATACAAACTTGTGATATGAACAATGAAATCTCTAGAAAAAGAAACACATTATCATAGACTTGAACAAGAAGATGTTGGATTATTAGAGAGGATGAAGAAACAGAGTAAGAAATCATATCTCTTCTCTTTTCAAGAAGACAGGAACGAAATAGAAACTTTTATTTAATCTGAAACTTGTTGTTATTTACATGACGATACAATGAGTTTAAATAGAAAACAAATAGACACAACACATGAAGAGTTGTGTCTCTTCCTACTTGTGACTTTTGAGTGAAACAACACAAACTTATAACCGTTAACCGAAAACTCAATTATCAACCAACAGAAGAGACCAAGAACAACACCTTTTATTTTCTGTAAACAATATCATACATCAAGAAAATTAAAGAATCAAAGATCTAAGAAAGAGATTCTCGATTGAAGTGAGGCTTACGAGGATCCTTGATTGTAGATATATATTGATGGTGACAGGAGACGCGTTGGGATCCTGGTTTGACACTTTAGAGAGAAGCGTTCTTGTGGAGAACCATGAAAGGGACCTCAGAGGTCGCGATTGAAGTGGAGATCAACGTCATGAATATCAGAGCGAATGTATAAGAGAGCTTCCTCATTCCCATCTCCATTTTCTCCGATACTCCGATGCTCACTCACTAGTTCAGGCCTGAGACGGGAAGCTATGTAAGTAAAATACTAATTCACGACACGCCGTTTTATTCGCTCTGCGTCAAAGTCAAACAAAGAGAGACACAAATTAATTTGTAAATAACAAAAAAATTGTAGACTAGTATGTGAGTAAAAAATATGAGTAGGAGGTGGAGCGTTGGGAAAAAAAAATGAGGACGCACAAGAATCAATATATTCTTCTTCCTTGTATAACAACTTCAAAATATCTACCTAGCTAGCTCTATGTCATCGTGTATGAGTTTTGAACATATTGTCTTAAACAGCTTCTTTGAAGGTAAAATTAATGTATTACATATATATAACATCCAAAAAGCTCAAAGTCATCAACATTGTCTTTCGATGATCATTCATGTCGTGCCTCTCATGCATGAAGATGAATGTCTGAGATGAAAGAGAAGAACATATAAGGATAGCCAAGGAGACTGCCTGATATCTTTTTATAAGCAAAATGGTCATTGCTTGATGCAACTGATAGTCACTTTGTCAAACATGACACAAACCATTTTACGGAAAGGAATCAGGCAAGTCATCCTTGGCTACCAAATATGATTCTCCTACTCATCTTTGACATCTCCTTCTAAATAATCACTCACCAAAACACTATTAAGAATGTATTAGAAACCAAACGCGAAAAATTGACATTTTCAACATTTGAGACACCCTAATAAAGATTGAGTTTTGTTTTGTTTTACGAAGAGACTTAATAGTGACTCTAGAGACAGAAAGAAAAACAGGTATAACATGGATGAAAAAAGCATGTCAAGATAGCCAAGGAGACTGCCTGAAACCTAACCAGCATGATTCAATATGATTTCGATTTATTATACCTTTTAAATGTATAATAATCCAAAAACCATGAACTTAAAATTGAATCATGGAGGTGAAAAAGATCAGGCAAGTCATCCTTGGCTACTAAACATGACTCTTTTCGCCATGTTAGACCTCTCTTCCTCATTATACACTTCATTACTCTCAATATGTTTTGCCTCATTCCTCACATGGATGTGCTCTCTTTTTATAACCCATTAGAAGGAATATATGCATATTGATTTCTAAAATGATCTCTTTTCTTTTTGCATGGGCTAAATATAGTCAACTTTGAATTTTCCATCACGGGAATATATTCCTTTAAATGAACCATTTTCGGGTCACTAAAACAATATTCTTGTCGGTTCATTCACATAATTATATATCTCATTTCATTGGTGGGTCTAAGAGTTTCCACAATGTAACTTAACATTGTCGAATCATCTAGGGTTTGTATAAAATAAAATAATGTAGTTTTTATGTGAGTTCAATTAAAACGATCAATCAAATGCAGATAAGATTTAGAAGTGCTTCTTTCAATCAGTATATATGAGACAATGATTTCACTCTGCATATTCGAATATATATATATACAAATATTTTTTAAGTTTGAATGTAATAGTTTATGATTTATGGAACCATATTAAATATTATTAATAGATAGTGTCAAACCGAAATAATATATGGCTAAAGATAAAAAAGCTTTTCAACATATATGTAAACGTGGGTTGTTAACTCATTGTGGTTGATCAAATGTTCTCAATTAATTTATTTCATATTCCTTTTTTTTTGTTAAAATTTTCATATTGCTTATTAATATTATTCTCACTACTTTTTACTATTTAGTTGATATACGAATCATTACTAAATCAAGTAAATATATAAATATATGTTCCCTTTTATAACTAGTGCAATTTGTAAAGAAAATGTTCCTTTGAATGGTATGGGCAAGTTGTTCTTCATCTCTAATTAAAAAATAAAAATCATTTTCCTTAGAATTTCTAAAATAGGAAATTTTTGATGATGGGTTGCATTTTTTTATTACCTATTTTGGATATAGAATGATAGGTTTGACCATTAAATTAAAGAATCAGTACTGTATATGGGACATTACCGAATCAGTCCACGCCTATTCATTTTCAAAAGTAGTCGATTCTCTGTCATCCATATCTTGTTCATTACCGATTGTTGAGATTTGATTTGGTTCGAATGTCATCATCATAACATCATGTCATTTTAGTAAGTTTTCACAAATATTATTCACTTGCACATCTCGGAAAAATTGTAACAAGCGTACGTAGTCTGCAGAAGAATGTTCATTATTTTCTTTCGAAAAACGTAGATTTTATTTTCTCATAAAAAGATAGAATAGTAACATGTATATTAGAGCATCAGAAAACTTGCAGTTTCTTTGTTCTCTGGTTTTGTTTTGAGGCCTACTTTTGTTCATGTCCGTGTTGATGCTGATTTAATTTCAGTTGTGTTATACCTGGTTTTATTAGGTTATCCGGCGTTCAAAGGCAAAACCGGCCTTAGAGTTTTAGAAGACTGCAAGCAGAAAAAAAGGGACCGTTTTGTACGACCGCCAACGATAAAAAGAAGATGAGAAAAATGCGGTTAGACTTTTTTTGTTCATTTCCTTTTTATTAAAAACTCAAGTTTTATCTTTTATGTTTTACTAATCTTTTTTAATTTTTTTTTTTAACTAAGTATGATAATGTTTTGCATAACTTTATTAATTTACTTAAAGAAAAACGAAAAACATTTTTGTCAAACAAAGGGCTGAATTAAAACTCAAGATGTGAAACACCAACAATTAAAACTAGGATAAAAAAAGGACATGTATCAAACAAAAGGTCAAATTTAAATTATACTCGCTCCGTTTCTTTTTATATGATGTTTAGAAGCTTTTATTTGTTTCATATTATATAATTTTTTCAACTTTCGAGACAAAGTTTACATTTTTCCAATAGTTTTTGATCATTCAAATTCTGCAGTATTTGTTTTCTTTGGTTGAATTAAGTTTGTTATGCACTAAATCATAGTTTTTTTAATATTTGTTTTTTTATTTAAAACATCATATAAAAAGAAACGGAGGAAGTAATATTTAGGACCACAAGCACATGAATGATGGGTTTATCCCAAAAGCCGGCTCTGGTCACAGGTTCTTTGGAAACTGGGGTGGAAACTTTCTGGTTTAATGTTTCAGTTTAGTGTTTAGAGCTCTCTTCGTATTCCCATAAGCGAGCTGTTTTCTGTAGGTCCTTGGCCCTTTTAATTTGTTTCCGTTTTGTTGACGCTATGTCTCCCTTTCTTTTGGTGCTTTGTTTCTATAGGACGGTGTCATGCCGGCTATGTATTTCAAAGTTAATGTTTTGGCTTTTGTTCGGGTCCTCATTAGATACAAGCCGTTTGTTGGCCGAGATGATTCCTTTTAAGTTGTTGCTCATGTAACATCACATTTGTAGTTTTACACATTAAGAAAGAAAGAAAAAGCATCAGAAAACAACAATTGGTTTTCGATGAACTGTTTCGAGTTAGTAGAAATGACGGCTTCCTACCTATTGGTTTGCCTTTTCGACCGACGAACATAAATAAATGAGTTCTTGATGAGCAAATAAATAAATTCTAAAGTTTATTTTTTTAGTGTGTAGCGTTATTAGACTTCACATTCAAGATTTTAATTACTTTTTTAAGGATTTGTATTGTCAATTTAAATCCCCCAACTTTTTTTAAATTTACTAAAAACTTATTGACCAAACAAAACTGGTATAATATATAGTTTTTTTGTCATCTTTTATTTATTAAATAAAAATACGGCCTTAAGGAAGCCAAGGCAACACAAATAATTGTGTATCAAGAGAGGAATAAAAACAAGTTAGCCTTTTCTGCTACCATTTGAAGCCTGTGAAGAAAGCCTTTTGTAGGAGGGACTATCTCGAGCAATTTAAGATTGGTGACGGCCTTCTTTTGTAAGGTAAGTGTTTGTAGTTTTTGGTTCATAGAATAAATCAATTTAAAACCTGTTCACATTCCTCCACAATATATTAAAAGACAACAAATTCTATTGAGGATATATTCCAATCCAGTTTCATTGTGATTACGCTTGAGGAAGCCCAAAGAAGACTTTCAGACTTCGCTCCAAGACACGAGACGAGATGGGGCTGATAAAAGCGTTTCTCAAATGGAAAATTACCTCCATGGTGTGATCACAAAATACCATGTAGAACAAGACATTCCAATTTACATTCTATGAGGATCTTAGGTTGCATTTGAACCTGGCGCAGTGTAAACTTAAGAAGGTCTGGGGTTCGTTGATCCAATGATCACGACGAACAAGGATGAGTTTGAGTTCTTGTTTTTCATACACTATAATAATCAAAGCTAATGAACTCTACTACTCACAAGTCACAACCACTTAAATACTTAGAGGAAGAATCTAAAACCCTAAGTTTAAGAAGAAGATCAGATGAAACATAAAACACTTAGAAGTTTTCCTAGCTCAATTGGTAGCGAGTGTGCAAATTATTCTAAAAGGTTGTGTGTTCGATTCTTGGCTAAATCAGATTTTATCTCGAACTTTATCAATGAAAAACATAAAACACTTCGAAACCCATGAAGAACAATGCCTTGTAATGAAACATGATATATATATATATATATATACATATTTATATTGTCTCTCTTTTTTTGGACGAAGGTAAATATCGGAGATGAGAAAGAAGAACATATAAGGATAGCCAAGGAGACTGCCTGATGTCTTTTTATAAGCAAAATGTCATTCTTGATATAACTTAAAGTCATCAAACATGACATCAACCATTTTGTTCAAAGAAACAGGCAAGTCATCCTTGGCTACCAAATATGATTCTCTTATTCATCTTTGACACCTCCTTCTAAATAATATGTACACTCACCTTCTTCTAAAAAATGCTTTAGAAACTAAACGCAGAAGTTTGAAATTTCCGAAACATAAAACCTTACACATAATAGGGATTTTTAGTGAATTTATAGTGATTCGGAAGACAAAAAGAAAAATAGGTATAACATGGATGAAAAAAGCATGTCAAGATAGCCAAGGAGACTGCCTGAAACCTAACCCGCAAGATTCAACTTGATTTTCGAATTATTACATCTTTTAGATGCATAATAATCCAAAATCCATGAACTTGAAATTGAATCATGGAGGTGAAAAAGATCAGGCAAGTCATCCTTGGCTATTAAACATGACTCTTTTCGCCATGTTAGACCTCTTTTCTTCATTATACATTTCGTAACTCTCTGTATGCCTCATTCCTCACATGCATGTTCTCACTTTTTATAACGCTTGAGAGAAGGAATATATGCATATTGGTTTCTAAATATAGTCAACTTTGAATTCTTTATCACGGGAATATGTTCCTTTAAATGGACCATTATTCGGGTCATTAAGATAATATTCTTGTCGGTTCATTCACAAAATTATACATCGCATTTCATTTGTGGGTGTAAGAGTTTCCCCAATGTACAAAATTTATATTCGAATCATCTAGATTTTGTTTATATATAATAATAAAATGTACATTTTATGTGAGTTTAATTAAATCGACAAATCAAATGCAAATTTTGATGTGGTTATTTAATTTTAATCAGTATGAAACAATTGTTTCAGTTTGTAAACATATATTTAAATATAATTTTAAGTTTTGAATATAATAGGTTTTGATTTATTGAACCACATATATATTGTTAATAGATAGTTTAAAATCTAATTGATATATACTCACTTTGTTTCATTATAAATATCGTTTAAAGATTTTCACACTTATTAAAAAAAATCACTAATTTTTTTGAATGAATATAAAATTTATTCAATCCAAAAAAACTCTTGTTACATAACGACACTTATTTTGAAACAAAAATTTAAGTCTAAAATAGCACTTAATATGAAATAGATTCGCTAACGATAAAAAGCCTTTTCAACACTTATATTACACGTGGGTTAACTCATTGTGGTTGATAAAATGCTCTCAATTTATTTTATCTTGCTTATTATTCTCACTACTTTGCAATTGCATGCATACTGTTTACTATATAATTAGGTGAAATTTTAATAGTAGTAATCGAGTAATATATATATATATATATACGGTCTCTTTTATCTAAGTGAAATGTGTAAGAAAATATGTTCCTAAAAAAAAAAATGCTCCTTCCAAATGATGCTTCTGCCTTTATGGTATGGCAAGTTGTTCACGTTTTCTAATTTAAAACTAAAACTGTTTTTCCAGGATAGGAAATTTTGATGATATATATGTTGCATCTCTATATCACCTCTATTGGATATAAAAAAGGTTTGACCATCAAATGAAAGAATCAGAAGAACTTAGGACATTTTGTTTTGTTTTGTTAATAAGACCTTTGGACGACATTGCCCGATCATTGTCAATCCACGCCTACATATTTTCTAAAGTAGTCGATTAGCTCATACCTTTTTCATTACCTATCGTTGAGAATGTGATTTGATTTTGTTCGAATCATAATATCATGTCCTTTTAGTAAGTTTTCACAAATATTATTCACTGGCACCGCTCGGAAATGTTTTAATTAACAAGCATAGTCCGAAGAACAATAGTGTTCATTATTTTGTTTCCAAGAACATGTATATTAGAGCATCAGAAGACAACAATTCCTTTTACAATGAATTGTTTCGAGTTAGTTACATGAGTTCGTGAAGATCAAGAATAATTTTTATTTTTATTTCTTTCTTACATTTTATGCGATTTAAGTTCAAGGTTGATTGTTAAGTTTGTAACGTTAGACTTCATGCTCAAGATTTTACTTTTGTAAGATATGTCGTCGATTTAGATCTCAGAATTTTTAAAATTTAACTAATAATATGAACCAAAAACAAAATGGTATACATAGTATTTTTTGTCATCTTTAATTTATTTAATTAAATACGGCCTAAAGGAAGCCAAGATAACACAAGTAACTGTGTCCAGAAGAGAAATAAAAACAAGTTAGCCTCTTCTCCTACCATTTGAAGCCTCTTAAGAAAGCCTTTTGTACGAGGGACCGTCTCGAGCAGTAAAAGTTGGTGACGGCCTTCTTTTGTAACATTTCGGGCAGTCGATGCGCGCAACACTCGGTTTGGTAACTCTGGATCATAGATGATGTCCCTTTTAACAAAATTGATTTAAAACCCGTTTACATTCTTCCCTACAATATATTGAAAAGACAACGACTTCTCTGGAGAATTAGTCGCTCTGACGAAATCCGTCCTTGTTGAGGAGAATATAACCCAATTCGGTCTCATTGTGAATAAGCTCAAGGAAGCCTAATGAAGACTTTGAATTTCGGCTCCAAGAGCTGAGACGAGACGTGGCAGATAAAGGCGTTTGCTCACATGAAAAATTACCTTTCCATGCTCTGATCACCAAATACCATGCATCACCTTTGGGATTCCAATTAAAATTCCAAGAGGATTTTAGGTTGCACTTGCACCGTACCTTAAGAGGAGCTTTCCGTGGAACTTGATGGTGAGACTCATTCGAGGTTGGTTGGCTCATCAAATCAGTTATCTTAGACTAAGATAGCCAATCAGCTGTATCCTCCCGAGCTTTTTGGATTGCCGAGAGAGGGTCATGAGTGAATATATTTGAAAATGTCGCTTGATATTCATTTATACATATTGATGTATGCGCAAAATGTAATACTTAAATATATGAGAAAAGCCTCAAAATCATGCATCAACATTGTCTCTCCATGATTTATCTTGTCGCGTCTATCTCATTTTGGATGAAGGTAAACGTCTGAGATGAGAGAGAAGAACATATAAGGATAGCCAAGGAGACTGCCTGATGTCTTTTGATGAGTAAAATGGTCATTACTTGATATAACTTATAGAGTTATAGTACATCATTTGTCAATCATGATGCTATAACCATTTTACTCAAAGAAACAGGCAAGTCATCCTTGGCTACCAAATATGATTCTGCTCTTCATCTTTGACATTTCCTTCTAAGCTCTAAATGATGTGTACACTCACCTCACCTCATAACTTATTAATTAATGAAACGTAATACTTTAACAAAGATTAAATTTTTTTGAAGTTTGAATATATAGTGATTCTGAAGACAAAGAAAAATAGGTATAACATGGATGAAAAAAGCATGTCAAGATAGCCAAAGAGACTGCCTGAAACCTAACCCGCATGATTCAACATGATTTCGATTTATTATACCTTTTACATGTATAATAATCCAAAAACCATGAACTTAAAATTGAATCATGCAGGTGAAAAAGATCAGGCAAGTCATCCTTGGCTACTAAACATGACTCTTTTCGCCATGTTAGACCTCTCTTCCTCATTATACACTTCATTACTCTCTATATGTTTTGCCTTATTTCCTTACATGCATGGGCTCTCTTTTTATAACCCTTGAGAGTTGAGAAGGAATATATTTTCTATTTTCTAAAATTATCTATTTTCTTTTTGCATGGGCTAAATGTAGTCAACTTTATATTCTCCATCACGGGAATAAGTTCTTTCAAATGGACCATATTTCGGGTCACTAACATAATCTTATTGTCGGTTCATTCACTAAATTATATCGTTGTTCATTGGTGGGTTTAAGAGTTTCCACAATATATATACAAACATCATGTTCTCGAATCCTCTAGATGTTTTTTCTTTTTTTTTTTCGTCTCCTCTAGATGTTGTGTATAATATTAAAACAATTGAATGCAAATTTAGAGCGGTTAGTTCCTTTAGTCTGAAAGAATTGTTTCAAATTTGTAAACTCGAACATATTTTTAAGTATTACGCTATGTTTTAATATAATTATGATTTATAGATCCACATATATATTATAGGTAATTTAAAAGCTAAATAATATACTATAGGCAAAGAAATTTCAACTAATATATACATGCGCATGCGGTTAACCCATTGTGGTCAATAAAATGTTCTCAATTTATTTAGGGGTTATTATTCTCACTACTTTAACTTTCATACATTTTCTTTTTACTCTTTAGATAGTTGAAATTCAAATATATATATATGGTCCCTTTAATCCAAGTGCAATGTGTAAAATATGTTCCTCTGAACTGATGCTTCCGCAAGTTGTTTTCGACTGTTTCTCTAGTTTATACTAAAATTTTGTTTTCCTTAAAATTCCAAATTAGGAAATTTGCATGATATGTTACATCTTTATCATTTAACCACTTTTGGATATAAAAGGTTTGACCGTTAAATTAAAGAATCAGAATACCTTTGGCATATTTTTTTAGGACATTGCCGAATCTCATTTGAAAGTCTTCGATTCTTTTTTTCTGTCATCCATATCTTTTTCATTACCAATTGACAATTGTTGAGATTTGATTTGGTTCGAATGTCATCATCATGTCGTTTCAGTAAGTTTACACAAATATTATTCACTGGCACGACTGAGGATAAATTGTAACATTATTCATCATTATCTTTCCAATGGAAAATTGGTAAAAAAAAAAATGGATCTATTAAATGGGCTAATTTTGAATTGGGCTAAAGCCTGTCACATGCAATTAAATTATGGGCTAGTTTTGAGTTCGGCTAAAGCATATAACATAATTATTGGTTTATTTAACCCCAATCGTTAATATATAGAGATTGTTCTCTCTCAAACATTTTCTTTTGGTTTAATTTAAAGTCTCTCTCAAACTTGAATAAAATGAAGCTCCATTCTCTCTTACAACACATACTTTTCTCGGTCTTTTGGCTAAGATCAAATTTAGTGTCTGACCTTATCAATTTAATATCTGATATATGGACTATTGGCTCGCACGAGGCACGATACTCTATTTTTAAATTAGAAAGTCTCATTAAAATAGCTTATCTGAGTTTTCGCGAGTGATCCATGCGTTGCATTACATTATTGCACGGACATGGCTCATTCCCACCACCAAATATAGTCCAAATTTTTATGTAAAGGCAAAAGTCTGGGCTTTGGTGGTCTCAGACAACTTGTCTCCAATCTCCCTCCATCTGAGTTTTGTTTTTGAATTTTCTCTATGTTAGAAAGATTTGTAGTGCTGAAACTCTTATCATATATCAAACACTTCCCCTAAAAGTCATTTGTTTCCGTTTATGCATAATTCCAGTTGCACACAAAGTGCATGCTTCCATCAAGTAATTGTAGAAAAAAAAAAAAAAGCATTTGTTCACAAACTATTTTCTTTCATTTTTGGATGGATATAGTGTATATATATGGGATAACGAGTAACTAGCTTTTTTGGAGTGTCTCGTTCAAATTTTTGAAATATGGAGTTTATATATATATATATATATATATATATATATATATTTGACTGTATGTTTTAATAAACAAACCGATATTGACACATATAGATAGTTTTCTAAAATCATATGGATCTTGAGATTTGGCTCACCTTGCCAATTAAAGTTCAACTAAGGTTAGTTTGTAAATTTTGTTTTGTTTATAGAAAATTCAGAAGGCGAAACTTGTACGTCTAAATTTGTATATAAATTATAACAAGATCCAAAAGGTCACTGTTGTTGGTCATATTTATATTTGTTTCTTTTTTATTTTTGCTCAAAATTCTCTCTTAAATACAAGTCACAAGAGGTGGTAAATATGGACTTTTATTCTAACTAAATACAGAAAGATGGAAACGCAACTTTCTCAAAATAGGCCTTGCAGAATTTTTGTCACAGATATTTTGTAATGAGATATCAAATTAGGTTGTATCCTATATTTTTCTGTTTATTAGCATTATTATTATTATTGTCAAACTTTTATTCTCTTTTGATGTCGGCTGGTCGATTATAGTGTCCCACGTCGTTTTCATTTATAGGATCGTAAGTCAGTTAATTAGCAAGTTTGAGATTACCACACATTATATGATGTTATTATTAACTTTTGACAAAGATTTTAATCTTTTAGGTTGACCAATTCGTATCTTGGTCTAATTTATCGATCAATTAAGATTTATAAGTTTGACTAGCCATATTAGGCTATTCGCATATTGATAACTAATTGATTTTCACCTGCTAAAAAATGGTTAGTAAAAAAAATTACTATCCACAAACTACTAATTAAATTACATGTTTTGATCACTCATGTCCAGTTGATTTGTATTATTGTTTTAATGATTTCTGTTATCATAAATTAATATCACTTTTTTTTTGGACAAACAAATTAATATCACATGTCCAAATATGTTTATTATTATTTGTTTTCAAAAAGAAAACAATTAAGTTTTTTATTTTCCGCGCCTCTTTGTTTGGACGAGTTTGTCGTGTTCTTATTATAAACACAGAAAAAAACGGCAAAACTCTCACACAAATGGGGTTTACACTACTTCGCTCAATCTTCGGTCTATGTGCCGTCTCTTCTTCATCAAGAGTAACTGATTTCTACTCTTCAAATCTCCGACGCCGGACCTCCGCCTCGAAGCAACAACTCACGGCGATCAAATCCGTCACATCCACTCATCCTCCTCCTTCTAGGGGTATTCGACGTAGACGGAAGAATAAGGATGACAAAGTGTTGGATAATCCGTATTCGAAAATGGAGATGGCGCGTCCCGATCTGCGGAAAAGCTTGTCGGATTTTTTGGAAGAAGCGAGAGATTTTGTAGGAGATGGTGGAGGTCCACCTCGTTGGTTCTCTCCGTTGGAATGCAGGGCTCATGCTCAAGGCTCTCCTCTCCTCCTCTTTTTACCTGGTTCGTCCTATAAATCTTCTTTCGCCTTTCTATCATAATACGAATGGATCTCGGGTTGAGGATCCGGGTTTCAAGACGTAAACTCGCAGAGGTTCCCGGTTAGTTGAGTTTAGTTAGGGTGAGTTTGCGGTAACATGCAAAGAGCATGGTTACCTCCGGATTAGTCGGACTTGACCTAGACACGATACCAATAATTCAGTTTACTTGAGTTGGGATAGTTTCTACGGATTTGAACTTTTATTTCATTTCCATGGAACTTTGAAATGTTAACAAAACTGAGAAAACTAAAACTTGCAGGGATCGATGGTACTGGACTAGGGCTCATTCGCCATCACAAGAAACTTGGGGAGTAAGTTATTTTAATTTTTTTCTATATGGTTTATTCATTTCCTTAAAAATTTGCATTAGCTTTTCCATTTTTTACAACATTCCCTGTATCTACAAGAATATGGTTTCTCTGTTTTTGTAACTTTGATTTTAGATGTTTTGAAGTATTGACATGTTAAGGGATCTTTAATTTTAATGTTTTGGTCTTTGAATAGGATTTTTGATATATGGTGCCTTCACATTCCAGTCAGTGATCGTACTTCATTTAAAGGTGCCTTTTTAACCCCCTTGTAAGCACCAATATGGTTATCTAACAGAGAAGATAGCTAATGCCGTTTAAACCCTTTTGTTTGTGTTCAGACTTGGTGAAGCTTATTGAGAGGACAGTTAAGTCGGAGAACTACCGTTTACCAAATAGACCAATATATTTAGTTGGAGAATCTATTGGAGCATGTCTTGCATTAGATGTTGCAGCCAGGAATCCCAACATCGATCTTTCTCTGATCTTGGTTAATCCAGGTACACAAGCTAGGTCTGCGGGATTCTTATTTTGTCGCTAAATGTTACGAAATATGTACATCTTTGTTCATCATAGACATTGTTTGTTGCAGCCACACATGTCAACAACTTCATGTCAAAACCTCTATTAGGAATGCTTAATGTTTTACCAGATGGAATTCCCACACTATTGGAAGATGTATTTGGTTTTAAGCAAGGTACACTTTTATACTCTTCTCATATTTGATCTTGAATCATAAGTTAACCCACTACTTGAGTTTCAAGTTGGATCTTTAAAATGTTTCCAAGTTATGCTTTAGCATATTCTTGATTTTACTTAGAAAGCAGTGACGGCTATCTTGATGTTATACAACATCAGTTCCTTGTAGATGAATGAAGAAATTATTAAGATAACAAACTTGTGTTTACTTTGTTCCCGGGGCTTAATTACGTAGGTGATCCATTGACTGGAATGTTAGACGCTTTGTCAAATGAGTTTTCCGTCCAGCGAATGGGCGGAGTGGGTGGGGGGATGCTAAGAGATCTCTTTGCAGTTTCAGCTAATCTTCCTGTAAGTATTCATCCTTAGGAACTCATGATCTATACATTTTCAGTTTCAGTTCTCGTGTTCATCAAGTAATATGATTCAACACCTTGAAAAATATATTTTCAGACTTTGATTAGGATGTTCCCTAAGGAGACACTGCTCTGGAAGCTTGAGATGCTTAAGTGTGCCATTTCATCTGTAAATTCTCACATATACTCAGTCAGAGCTGAAACACTGATACTTCCAAGGTCCAATAAGTTTCTCTGAATCTCTTTTACTTTTAAAGAGATGTTCTAGCTAGTAGCTACCATAAGTGTAATGTGATTATGAATATTGCAGTGGACGTGATCAATGGCTGCTTAATGAGGAAGACATTGTCAGATACTCGCGAACGTTGCCAAAATGTATTGTCCGTAAGCTTGATGACAATGGACAGTTTCCGCTTTTGGTAAGCGATCTCTCCTTATCCAACAAAGAAGAAAGATGCTACGATACTTTGGGTCTAATATTGATACTAGTATTCAATTGGTTCTTGCAATTTCTTCATATCAATTGAGGATATTGATTCATTCATAACCTACACTTCAATTATCTCTTTTACATCTCATGTTTAGGAGGACAGCCTAGATCTGGCTACTATCATCAAGCTTACTTGTTTTTATCGCCGTGGGAAGTCTCATGATTACATTTCAGATTACATTAAACCTACCCCTTTTGAATTACAACAACAATTAGACGAGCACCGGTAAAATGCCTTACTAATTGCTATGTCTTAGTTTTTCTGTATGCCTAGCAAAATAAATAAAAGGTTATAGTAAATACTGAATGATATTTTCCGCGATTCAGATTGCTAATGGATGCTATTTCACCTGTAATGCTATCCACTCTAGAAGACGGTAGAATTGTAAGGAGCTTTGAAGGATTACCTTCAGAGGGACCGGTTGTGTACGTTGGCTATCACATGATATTAGGATTTGAGTTGGCTCCAATGGTAGGTTTACTCCTGAAAGAGAGGAACATTCACATGCGTGGTTTGACACATCCGATGGTATTTATGTATATCCAAGACTCGTTAGTCGACCCGAAGATGTTTGACAAATATAAGTTAATGGGTGGAGTTCCTGTCTCCAATATGAATTTCTACAAACTAATGCGTGAAAAGTCTCATGTGCTTTTGTATCCTGGAGGTGTCCGTGAAGCTTTACATAGAAAGGTGATGTTAATATATAGTTGGTGACCTTTTTACAGTTTCTACAATCTTGGAATTTTTTTTTTTTGGAGGCTTACATGCACAGAGAGGCTTTGCAGGGTGAAGAATACAAGCTTTTCTGGCCAGAGCAATCCGAGTTTGTGAGAGTTGCATCTAAATTTGGAGCGAAAATCGTTCCTTTTGGTGTTGTTGGAGAAGATGATATCTTTAATGTAAGCTTTCTCTACTCAATTATGTGATCTTAATTCTACCCTATTCCACTTCCTTTTTAGCAAATCAATAACCAAGAACAGTATCTGCATTATGGTTATATTCATATATATTTCTACATTACTCGACATTTTATAGATTGTTGCATTCAACATTTTTGATTTGTTCTCTTAGCATATATCAGCAAGAAGCAATGTCTCTCTGTATCTGAATACTGATAAACTCTATAGATGCACTACTTATACTAACCCGAACCTCGTTTCGATTAACTTTGGTTTGGACATTGAATGATTCTCAGATAGTCTTGGATTCCAATGATCAAAGGAACATCCCTATCCTGAAGGATTTAATGGAAAAAGCAACAAAGGACGCTGGAAACCTAAGGTGTTTTATGTTTGATCACACTATATATATTCTCA